AACGAGAAATCACCCCCCCACCCCGGGAGGGGGTGGCCACACCACAATCCCTTCTCCATTCTCCTCTTGGGATCTTGGGCACACATGCAAATGCGCCAAGTGGCCAAGTTTTTAGCCACCGGGTCTGGGACTCGAACCGCAGTTGACTACATGGGAGTCCAGCGACATAGCCATTATGCTAACTGCTGGACCCGATCCCAGACCTTTGTGGTGAATTATTTATTTGCCTAGGGGCTGTTTTTTACTTATGAAGGTATCGTCTGCATATGGTAAATAAGCTCTTTGAAGCACCTACTTTAATGAGTGTCAGCAAGGTCAGCAAGTCATCGGCCCTAACCGCATCTTCTCCCCCGTGCCTCCCCGTGTTCCTGCTCCTGGGCATCCCAGTGTTTGACTGCATCGAGGCCTACGCCCCCGGCTTCAAGCGCTCTGTGGTGGGCAGGGACATCCTCACACCCCCCGACCTGGAGAGGATCTTTGGGCTTCCTGGAGGGGTGAGTCTAAGCCCGGGCCCCTCATCACGTCCTTTGCTCTGCACCCCCTTCCCGGCTGTGCCCTCTCAGCAGTCGAGTCCCTCCATATCCAGCTTTTACTAGGAGTGAGGACAGAGGTGGAGACCAGAGCTGAGAGGGGACAGAGCAGTGGTCAGATCCAGGGGATGGTGAGAGAGTGGGGACAGAGACACAAGTCTGATGGCGCCACCTGAGAGGGTCACAGAAGGGGGCCCTTCTGCCCGACACGCATGCTGGCCTCTCCCATCTGACGTTCTCCAGAGAAAGCTCTGATCCCTAAGGCAGCATGTCCTCAGGCTTCTCTTTAACTGGTCGAATTTATTGAGCACGGAGGCGGGGAGGCCCGGGGGAGGCCAGCAGGGCAGCGGCCAACTCTGTGGCTGGGCTCAGTGAGGTGGGCTGCCAGCGAGCAAGGCACATCAGACTGCAGGAGTTAGGGAGGGGAATGGGAACTGCACCATTAAGAATCCCTAAGAGGACCTGCAGGTGGCATAGTGGTTAAAGTATTGGACCCCCAGGTAGTCAGCTGTGGTTCCAATCCCAGACCCGGTGGCTTGAAACTCACACCAGGCGCGTGTATATGTGTACCCAAAATGGTGTGGCCATCCCCCTGGGGAACAATTTCTCATTTTCTCTTTTTCTCTCTCTGTGTGTCTCCGGCAAACACGCACCCTAGAGCAAAAGTCCTTCTTCCAAAAAAAAACAGAATCCTTATACCAATTCTATGCTGAAATAATAGTTTAGATATAGTGGGCTAAATACATTGCTTTATTTATTTATTTTTGTATTTTTAAATACACCGTTAACGCTAATTTCACCAGTTGTTTCTGCATTTTAAATATGGCTACCAGGAACGCAGTGCTGCACGTGTGGCTCAGGGACAGATGGCCGGGCAGGGCAGTCACAGGCACGGAGCTGGGAAGGCTCAGGAAGGGAAGGAGCGGGCTGGGTGGGAGGCAGGGCAGGGAGAACGGAGAAGTCTGGGTAACCATGTGTGTGCGGGGATCCGGCCAGAGGCTGGGAGCGAAGGTGGGGTCCACTGGGGCCAGAGAAACGGGAAGGGGCAGCCCTGGGGGCTCGGAGTCTCACACTGAGGGGAGCAGCGGAAGGACGCCCCCACAGAGGATGGCTCCCTGGTCAGCCCTGGCCTGCTCCTTGTCCCACTGCCCCATCGTGGCCTGGAGCAGCTGCAAACCACACCCCAGAGCCAGCGCCCCTTTCTGCCCTTCCTGCTGGGGCTCTCCCCCCAAGGCCAAGCTGAGGGGGACTCCTCGCCCAGGAACATGTCCCAGCGGAGTGCGTGCCAGGACCAGAGGAGACAAGCTCCGTTTGCAGACAGAGCCAGGGGGCTTCCCGCCCCAGCAAAACCCTCCCAGCCCTCCTTCCCATTCCCACTCGGTCTCCTCACACTCTGATGGTGCTCCTTCCTGAAAATGTCACCGAAAACGTCGCCCACAGCCTGGAGACACGTTCACTCTCTCTCAACTACCTGCATTTTTTTAAAGAGGTTTTTGCTATAGGGCACATGCGCTCGCCAGAAAGAGACAGAGAGACAGAGAGACAGAATGTGAGAAATCACCCCTCCAGAGGGATGGCCACTCCGCAATCCCTTCTCCTTCATTCTCCTCTCGGGATCTCGGGCACACAAGTACACACTCTCGGCATGAGTTTAAGCCACCAGGTCCAGGACTCGAACAGTGGTCGACTACATGGGAGTCCAGCGACATAGCCATTACGCCAACCGCTGGTCCCTCTACCTGCATTTTAAGGAACTGCTCAGGAAGGGCCCCACAGAGATGCAGCAGTGACAGCACTGCGAGGGAAGGTTCTAGGTTCACATCTGGACAGCTCCCTGCACACGCCGGGCATGCGTGTGATCTGGGGCCGCCTGAGGCTGGGGTGGAGCGCAGTGAGGACCCTGCGAAGGGTGCATGTCTGCCTCCCTCCCTCTCTCACTCATGGAGGAAATAAATAAATAAACTTAAAACAAAGGAAAAGGAAAGGAAATATCCTGCAAGGAATAGAACCTTCCTTGGGGGAGACGGGAGGGGAAGAAGCCTAGTCAGGGCGGGGAAGCCTGTTGCACTCCTATGTTAACGACTGCGGCCCTGCCTCCCACAGAACATCTTCCACTGCGCCATGTCGCTGGACCAGCTCTACTTCGCCCGCCCCGTGCCCCTGCACTCTGGCTACCGCTGCCCGCTCCCGGGCCTGTATCTGTGTGGAAGTGGGGCGCACCCTGGTGAGTGGCCCCTAGTCCTCTCTCCCTGTGGGCTGCCAGGACTGACATGGTCAGCGGCTTGCAGACCGAGCTGAACAATGAGGGAAGGGCTGTGGAGCCCCCTGCCACAATGGAATGGGAGACCCCGTCCCTAAATTCCCCGTCCGTAGTTTAGAACGTTAGGCTCACTAAATTCGCAACGTCAAGATTCCTTCGTGCTGTCCCAAGGCCAGCTGATCTCGCTGAGGCTGCCATTTCTCATGGGCACTTTCTCGGAGTTCTGCGGGTCTCAGCTCCCCAGGGGGGTCTGCATGTCCATACTGCTGCCCCACTCTCCTTCTTGAGTCTGAATCCCATGTGCTAAGCGTGTCACCATTTAGCACAAGCTGCGGGCTCGGGGAGGGACAGCTCGTCTGGACTGCAGACCTGGCCCCTCCCCAGCGCTTTGACACGGGGAGCCCCGAGGGAGCCCCAAGGGAGCCCAGAGCCGGTCTTACAGTTGTCCCAGCGATTGCCACGCCACAGCCCTCTGCTGTGCTGTGGGAGGAGCTCTGACACCCTCGCTGCTCCTCCCTGGTGGAGTTTCAAGCAGAGTTGGGTTTCTGAAATTCCCTTCCAGGAGGAGGTGTCATGGGAGCTGCTGGAAGAAATGCAGCCCACGTGGTCTTCGGGGACCTCAGGAGCATGTGACTCGGAACCATCTGTGACCAGGAAGAATTCACTCCCGAGTGTCTAAAGCCTCTGCTTGGGTCGGCGTCCCAGGAAGCTCTGCTCCTGAAGGTGGCACTGGAGCAGCCAGGCCCTCAAGGTTTGAGCCGTTATCTTAGGAGAACATAGAAGTTACAGTTAATACTCATTAACCTCGAGCCCGTGCAGAAATAAACTGGCTTCATTTTTTAAAAAATAATGTTTTGATCGGATCATTTGCTTGTGTTTTCCTCTGTGTATAAGTAAGACTGTCTAATAATAGGTGGGATAGACTTCCTGGGATAGCACCCGCCTTCTCATCACCTCAGCTGGAAACAGTCCATTTGGCCAGTGGAAAAGTCTGACCACGCACCTCCCTCTCATTGGCTGGGCCCCCACAGCCACAGCCAGCTGATTGGAGGACTGCCCTGCTGAGGCCCTATCAGCTACTGTCACATTCCTGGCAGATGGTGAGAATGGACCGAGTTTCCCAGTGACTCACAAAGTCGCCCACGGGGAACCATGGGCATGAACCACACTTGGCATCTCAAGCCAGCAAAGCCTCCAGTCAGGCAAATGGCAGTCAGAGATGCATGCAGGGCCACAGAGGCCACCTGGAGCCACCAGCCTCCTGTGTCCCAAAAGCAAAGTCGTCACACCGCTAAAACCCTTCCAAATAAACCTGTGTAATTCTAAACTGAGTTTGGTCGTCACTCTGGGTCAGAAAGGTGGTAGAATGTGCCTGCACCAACACAGCTCTCCCAGCCAGCTCCTCCACTTCAGTGGCCGTGGCCACGGCCCAGTCGTGTCTGCGGAGGAGGCAGCAGCTGCTCGGCCCGCCTGCCTCCGTTCCCTAGGCCGGTGCGTACAGATGTGGAGATAGCCACCTCGTTACTGAGTGTGGTACACTCACGTGCCTCCTCTGTGCAAGAGCGGTCTGAAAGATCCAGAGGACGACAGATGACGTTCCAGCGCACTGCCAGGCGTGGAACGAGCATTCGGTACCTGGTGGGGTGTGGCTGCTGCCGTCGCTGGTGAAGATGTCCCTTTTGTGTTCTACAGAAGGCAGACTTCTCACTATGCTTTAAAAAAAAAAAAAAAAAAAAGAAAAATCCTGGCACCCAGAATTGAAGCCAGCCCACTGGAAGCTCCGTGATTAGGTCAGTGCCGAGCAATCCTTGGGCCCACCCAGCTTTTTCCAAACTGAGACCTCCTCACCCACCTTGGGCCTTGGTATGACTGACTCCCAAGCTTGTCACAGTTTGGAGTTTGGTCAGCATTGGCAGTTATTAGAGATACGCTTTTCTCAAAAGACTTTCCAGGGCCCAAAGGGTAGTGGGGGTGGGAGGGAGCTTGGGAAAGAAAGAAGGCAGAGAGGGAGGAAATCGTATGTGGCTGAGAGGCCAAGGCTAATATCCTGGGGCAGAAGGGTCTTCACGTCGGGGCAGGCAGGTGCCTGGTTAGTATCACCCTTGGCCTCGACAGATCATCCCTGACCTAAGAGAGACACAGACAAGAGGCCTAGGGCAGATCAGTACAGACCCGGCCTTTAAAATACTAATGATAGAAGAGCCAGCAAATGGCATGGCAGTTAAGGCACTGGATTCCTACATGGCTGACCACAGTTCAAGTCTTGGACCCAACAGCTTGAAACTTACTGCATGCCTATGCTTGGGTACCTAAAATCCCAAGAGGAGAATGGAGGGAGAGGGATTGTGGTGTGGACTTTCACCCCGGGGTGGGGGTGGAGGGGTGATGTCTCACTCACAAATGCTTAATGTAAGAAAAAATTATAATGTTAAGAAAGAAACATAGAACTTACACATAACCCTATCTGCAGGGGTCATTGCGTCATCATGCTTTATTTTCCCCTGGCCTGTTACAGCGCTGGGATTGTATTCCACATCCTATATGCAGCTTTTCATCCTTCTTTCTCCTGTTGTTTCAACCACACTCGTTCTTCAGCGTCATAAAAATCCTTCGAAAATATTATTTTTAATAGCTGCCTAATCTTCTCTCATAAAGACATATCTTCATTCTTATGGGACAGCGAGGCTAGTCTGGGCCTTGATTGCTAATTAGCACCAGCCAAAGGCCCGACAGCTCCTCCTTCATGGTCTGAACTCCTACCTATTGCCCATTGTCTTGGGTTGCAGTGGTGCAGCTGCTGTGCAGGCAGACTCTCCCTCTGCAGGAGGAGGAACTCGGAGGAGAAGGGGGGCAATTTTAGCACTGAGAGGAAGAACTTCCCACTGTTTGGTGATTCCCATGCTTCTGAAAGGTAACATTTGGTCCAGACCAGAGACAAGCTCAGAACTCAGCACTATGGGGTGCCTCGGCTCCTACAAATCCCCCCAACCTCCCACCTCCCCCCCACAACATGCCGCCCTGCAGAGCAAGGGAGGTTAATCTTACCCAAAATGATGACTCTGCAAATTGGCCATGAATTGGGCAAATGGGTCCCTTGTTGACTCAGTTACATAAAACTCTTACAAAGATAAATAAGTCAAGTCATGTTGATACCTGATTTACAACTGCCTTTCCCCCCAAAGCAGTAGGGAACACTTCCTTGAGGCCCAGTCTTGTAACGACCCAGGCTGGGACCTCACCTGCTTAAGTCGTCAGATCATGTGGCCAGCCCTCCTCTTCTGATACCCCCGGGTGAGGGTGTCCAGAGTCTCAGCGAGATGTGAGGTTTACAGCTCTGAGAGGAAGTCAGCCATCTTGTTAGAGGAATGCCAGATGTGGCTGACCAGGCCAGCTGCAGGCCTTGTGAGGGTGGAGCTTTCTGACACACGCTCTCTGCAAAGCAGCTCTTCTGTGGGATGTCGCTATTGCTCCCGTGGTGAAGGCTGGCAGGCAGCAGGCATGGAGAATGAGGAAATTAAAAGAAGGAGCAGAAAATGACAAATAAAGAGAAATGCAAATGGGCTGAAAAAAAGTATTTCCTGCACCAGGAATCAATTAAACACAATTAAAATAGAACTGGGCCAGCTCCATGACCTGGTGGTTAAGGTAGCTGGTAACCATATGGCTGACTATGTGGTTCAAGTCCAATGGCCTGAGAAACACATTGGGCATGTGTGGGTGAATGCCCAAAACCCTAAAGGAGGGAGAGAAGGGATTACCATGTGATCATTCCCCATGGGAAGTGCTTTCCTGCTTTCCCTCTCGCTCTGTCTCTCTCCAATGAACACATGTGCCCTCAGGGGGACAAAGAGATTATATTTTATGTGTGCTGTTGGCAGTAGAATAAGTCTATATTTGATAATGGGACTCAAAAGACAACATTCATGTGCTTGAATGGGTTATGCCACATCTTGCCACTCAGCCTAAGGAAAATATCAGAGACAACCCTGAGGATTTAGCTTTGCAATGTTATTTGTGATGACAAAATATTGGAAACAGCCTAAATGTCCCTCAACAGGGAATTAAATTAATCATGGTGACTGCATGTGACAGAATACCCAACAGTAAGTTTTAAAACTATGTCTTTGAAAGTTCTTTTCTCTAATCACATTGAAAAGTGCTAATAAAAATATAATATAGTAAGCTCTCAATTTTGTTGATAGATGATAGATGAGGATAGATAGAGATCTGTCTCTCATATACAAGAGCACTTGAAAAGTTCATGGAGAATGTAATTAAAATACAAATTCATCTTGGTGCAAAATTTAAAAAAAATATGTTAAAATAATTTTAAGATTTATTTAAAAATTGCAAAGATCACACATGGAATTCCAATATATATTTCATTCCGTCTTGTGGGCTGAATTGTGTCTCCCACAAATCCCTGTGTTGAATTAACCTCCAGTACCACAGAATATGACTGTATTTGAAGATAGGTCCTTTAAATAAGCAATTAAAATAAAATAAGGTCATGTAGATGGGCCCTGACCCAATATGACTAGTGTCCTTTTAAGAAGGGATTAAGGGACCTAAAGTTAGTGTAATGGCTATGTCGCTGGACTCCCATGTAGTCAACTGTGGTTCAAGTCCCAGACCTGGTGGTTTAAACTCATGCTGGGCACGTGTGCGTGCGTGCCCAAGATCTCGAGAGGAGAATGGAGGAGAAGGGATTGCGGCGTGGCCATCCCCCTGGGGGGTGATTTCTCGCTTTCTGTCTCTGTCTTTCTAGTGAGCGCATGCACCCTATAGCAAAAACCTCTCCAAAAAAAAAAAAAAAGGGATTAAGACACAGACACTTAGACACTGACTATTCAGAGACACAGTGAGAAGTCAACCATCTGTAAGCTGATGAGTAAGGCCTCAAAAGAAATCAAACCTTCTGACCATTTGATCTTAGACTTGAGGCCTCCAGAATGGTGGTAAAGTAAATCCCTGTTGCTTGGGCCAGCTGTCCTGTGATATTTTGTTATGACAGTCTACCAAACGAATGACCAGCTTTCCCCATCTTTAACTCCTGGTACCACCATGCTACCTTTTCGAAACCAGCATTGGTACAGGACTAGCTACCGTCCAGTCTTTGAGTTTCGCCAGTTTTAATTCATGTCTTTTCCTTGTTCCAGGATTCCATTCGGGGAGCACATTGCATTTAGTTGTCGTGTCTCCCTGTTATTCTTTGGTCTGTGGTGGTTTCTCAGCTGTTCTTTGAAAAATTGATATATACCGTCATTCCAAGTAGTTGCTGAATGGAATGGTGAAATGGTCCATTGACACCTTAACACCTATGCCATCGGGGAACAATACTCCGCTAAGTTAACGAGTTTGTAAGTGCCAGTTTCTTCAAGTTTTCCTACAGGGGCAGCTGAGTCTTCGTTGTGGATTGGAGTAAGCCACTCCAAGTAAGCCAGACTCCGGCTGGCTCGCCATAGCATATGCTGCAGGACAGCTTCTGCGGTGATGGCCAGCTTCTTGGTGTTTCAGATAAAGAATTGAATGAAAAGGGACCAGCAGTTAGCGTAATGGCTATGTCGCTGGACTCCCATGTAGTCGACCACGGTTCACGTCCCGGACCTGGTGGCTTAAAACTCACGCCGGGCACGTGTGTGTGCGTGCCCAAGATCCCAAGAGGAGAATGGAGGAGAAGGGATTGTGGTGTGGCCATCCCCCCTGGGGGTGATTTCTTGCTTTCTATCTCTCTGTCTCTCTCTGGCGAGCGCAAGCACCCTATAGCAAAAACCTCTCAAAAAAATAAATAAATAAAAAAGAATTGAATGAAACATGCCAATAGGGTAAGGAAAAGGAAGTTTATTAAGT